TTTGGCATCCGCATTTTTTGAAAACACCTCACACTTCTGCAAAAAACATGAATTCATTTCTAAAAAAATACAGGTAAACTCACGGACCATATATCTCATGATAAAAAATGACCAAAAAAAATTCCTGCTTTTCTTTATATATATATATTTTTATTTTTTTTAAATCCAATTTCGTTTTTGATTTTTTAAAAATCCTAAATAAAGTCGGATTCAAAAAAAATATATATGGGGTTGTAGGGCTCAAAATTCCCTACAACCCCATATTTGTTTTTGTTTTTTTACCTATTATTTAATTCAGGAAAATTCGTGTAAAATCGGGTCCGCGGTGCGGACCAAGTAGGCCGCGGATGCGGACCCATTTGGGTCCGCAATCCGAGCTCGACCCCGCGGACGCGGCCGCGGGTGTTTCCCTGGGTGGAGTTGATGGTGATGGTCGTGAAGGGGGACCAGGAGTTTGTGGCGGAGATCCCTCCGGTGGCAGTGGGGGTGTCGGGGAGGGGTGTTCGAGAGCGGTGGATTTGGGTGTTGTGTTGTGTGGCGTGGGCTCCCCATCAAATCCAGTTGGACACATTGAGGTGAGGGGGCTACCTGAACTGACTGTCCTGTTGATTGTTGGAGGAATGCAGGTAGCGTTTTCCAGTGTCATCTGTGTTCCTCTATCCACCAAGGTTTCCACATGAGGTTCCGGTTCCCATCTAACAATGCAATCTTCCGGTCAGGATCTAGCCACTCCTGTTCGAAGGCGCTGATGAGTTCAACAATCTTGGATTGATGAGCTGCAGATGTGAGTTTTTCCTTTAGGCTTCTTCATGCTTTTTGTATGTTGATTCTTATTGTTTCAACCACGTGTTGTATGACTTGGATGTAGCCGAAGGAGTGTTCTTTTCCTCCCGTGGGAACATCAGGCCCGCCAAATTACCATTAATATTTCCAACCTTGTGCATTTAAAGAGGTTGGATTGGAAGAGTGACCATGCGGTCGTGGAGGCTGGGGGCTGGTCCAACAGAAGTACAGCCGGTTCTTAGGGCAGGTCGATGTGTGTGAGGTATTTCTGTGCTGCCGCCCACCATCGCCAGATCTAGTTTTCCATTGGGCAATCCAACAGACAGTGTTCGAGGTCTGCTATTTGTTTTTGGGATGAGATACCACAATAGGAACATAGGGGCAACATGATGCCTTTTTGTTTCAGACGGGATCTTGAGACCACCCAATTTGGGGTTGGCAAACAACGGTATATGATCTGCCATTGGAGTGCTCGCTGTGATTTGGGCATACGACCGGAGTAATGGGACCACCTGAAGTTTTATAGATCATTTTCTTTCAGTACACGTCACCACCTGTCTTTTATGATGTTAGTTGTGTCGGTTGTCTTCTGAGTCTTCCTATAGCAATTTTTGACCGTGTATTTCCAGACCGACAACAACCTAGCTCCTCCCCATTGCCACTCTTCGGGATCGAACGGTAGTGAGTAGACTAAGGTAGCGGCTTCATAGGTCCACCAACCATCTTCCTCATTACCTAACACACGTACTCTTATGAGGCCGACCAAGGTTGTTGTTTGTCTAGGCCCTCGTTTCTGGTCAGGCTTGTCATTCTGGCCCCAACGAGCGTCAAGTCATATGCTTCCCATGTTGTATGGTTGTCCAGACAGCTGGTTACTCGGTAGAGGGTCATAGGGAGCAGTAGGGAAGTTGCTTTGATTACCCAATAACATGTTATTCGTTAAAATAGGACATTATACTTTGTCCTCTTTCTAACGAATTAATTTTTGGCTGCATTCCAAGCAACGTAGGCACGCCCATCCAGGGCTTAAGCACATGCAGAAGTGTGCTGAGATCCGTACTTGTGAAACTTTATAAATGATATCCCAAATGAGGAAGCGCGTTCAAACCCATACATGTTAGGCACGCCGCACGGGAACCTTGTGTGGAAGTGTGCCGGGATCCTTACTTGCTGAATTTCAAAAACATGGCACTGATGGGAATCCTGTGCGGAAGTGTGCTGGGATCCGTACTTGTTAAACTTCATAAACGAATAACGATAGGCACGCCCATCAGGGAACCCTGTGCGAAAGTGTGTTGGGATTCTTACTTGTTGAACTTCATAAATGTGCCGTGAACCTTGTGCCGAAGTGTGTCGGGATCCGCACTTGTTAAACTTCATAAAAGAATAACGACAGGCACGCACATCAGGGAACCCTGTGCGGAAGTGTGCTGGGATCCGTACTTGTTAAACTCCAATTCCATAATTGTGACGAGCAATGTGTCATGATTGCATCCTCGTTGGATAATTAAATTAGAAGACGTAGAGTAGCGACAGACACGCCCATCCGGGATGCCTGTGCGATAGTGTGTCGGGAGCCACACTTGTCAAACTTCAAGTTTGTGAATGTGATGAGCAAGGTGTCATGATTGAATTCTTGTTGGATAATACTATTTATTTCTTTTATGCGTGAGTTGTACATGCATGGTTATCGTCTCGTCCGAGGCGGTTGTCTGGATATTGTAAAGATTCAGACTTTTTTAGAAGTACAGACAGTAACTGTTATCTTTGACATACAATTTATTTTTCCCGGTCAATAACGCAAAATTGTCGGTTATATGTAATTCAGGCGGTCACAAGTACATGATTGTCTATGCACACAAGAGACGTGATGTCACTGGTCTTTCACTCTTTGCATAACGAACCTCACACCCACACACTCGCCGAGATTTGTCTTGCATCCACACTCCAATTCGTCATGTCGCACCACACACACGAATATCATTTCGAGGTGAATTATATGCACAACTTTGGAAGACCTGGACACAATTTACAACGAGGACTGCAATGCGATGAATGTAATGGCACGACAGACGAGCCAAACCTGACAGAGATTCCGAAGACAATACGCGACACCAAACTGGCAGTCAACATACCAAAGACAACTTAAACCCGCAACACTGAAAGAAAGTAATGTCGTTGTGAAAGCGACAGTTAAAATATGAAATATTTTAACACAGAAGTTTGCAAATCAATCGAATCCATCAAAGACAACGGCATTCCAAGATACATGATGCCAGTTGTCATCTAATATACGGAATATTTTTACAAGAGAACCTGAAAGGCGGTCGATCGCCACGTTGCAACAGTGTCGCAAACATCAACATAAACACCCCGCAACTAACTCCATCCACTTGTCTTGGAACTCCCTCTATAACAACATTTGTTGCCACCGACTTCCAGCGCCTGCACGACCGCCTATGTGATGTTTGACATTCCAAATAGTGTACGATCAACTCGAAAACACTAAGGTAAAAACTAGAATCGGCTACAACGCAAGGAAAAAAATCAAAAATCTCAAGAACATTATCTCTCAAGCTCACAGAAAAGAGGATCCAGTGATCATTATCTTTGAGGACTGGAACAAAGATAATATCATATTCAAGCAGATCCACGTTTTTAGCCCATCTTTCCACCCCGCCCTGCCCTTGAAGTTGCAGTTTACTGAAGAAGAAAGAATTAGAGCTGAAGACTCGAAGGCCTGACGGGATGTCACTTGTCCCATATGCGACGTTCCTAATAGCGCCACGTAGAAGTTGACCACCTCATCATTCACCCTGCCGTCGGTAAGTGAGAGGGTGAGAATATCCTTCGCTGCAATTCGCAACTGAGCATCGCGGAGGGTCGAGAGCACAGTGCTAGGTGGCACCAAGCCTTGTTCAATGTCGTTCAAAACCCGCAAGCTTCCAATCGCAGTCACTGCTGTTCCAGGTGCCGTGGCCCGCACTGCACAACATCGAGCAAAGGACAGGGGGGAAGTGAGAAACGGAACACTAAGGATTCTCCTTCATCGCACGACGAGTAGCTAAGTATTTCTTATACATAGCCTGACCCGTAGTCACAGATCGTGGATATGTCCCTTTCTCTGGGGGCAGAAGGGAAAGACACTTCTTAATGGCAATGGCATGCTCCTTCTTCCCGATTTCGACATCAACCCCTGACGCCTTTAACATGTCCTTGTGTTTTGTGGTCAACCCCGGGACTGTATGCAATATGTGTTCCGGATGTTTAGAGGGCTTCCGTGTTCGAGACGACCCAACCCCTGTACAACAGAAGAAAGACAAAACGAAAAGTGAATACACGTTTCTGAAGAAGAACCCGACGAAAGGACGATTAAAGGACCACGAAATCTAAAAGACGCAGGACCCATGCAATTACAGAACCCCGTCATGCCATGAAAGTGCGAGAGAGAGAACTTCCGCACGAGCCACGTTGCAAAACAAAACGAGCAGTGCACTCAAGCTCGACACCCCCGCCCTTCAGAAGGGAAAAGCACATCAAGTCACAAAAGCGGAAGGCAAACATCTCTAAAGTCCGGATCCCGACGGACTTTTCGAACCCAGGGAGATGACCCAACCCCTGTGCAACCGAAGAAAGAGAAAAACGAAAATGAACATACGTAATCCAAGATGAATCCGACGAAAACGACAACTCAAGAACCACAAAATGTAGAAGACGGAGGACCTATCTATTTACAGAGCCCCGTTTAGCCATGAGAGAGATAGAGAATACTTCCGCGCAGGCCCCGCTGGAAAACAAAAGGAGCAGTGCGTTCGACCTCGACACCCCCACCCTGCAGAAGGGAAAACCTCAACAAGCCACAAATGCGGAAGGCAAACATTTGTGAAGTTAGGATCCCGGCGGACTTTTCCCAATCGAGGCACCCAAAGAGTAACCGCGTTACGCAGCGGCCTTAGCAGTGCGGATCCCGGCGGACTAAAACCACCACTCATTCCGAAAAAGAAACACCATCCTTCCATTATGTGAGGGAACGCTTCAACAAAAACACACATGTTTTTGTCTCGTACGCCTTGCACATGACCAGTGACCTGGCCGACTCACAGGATGGTCGTTCACATGTACTTGGAAGTTTGAAGGAGTGGTGGCTATAGCATGCCGGCATTAGGAACTCCCCGCATCGACAGACACTGCGGTCATTGGCGCGCAGACAGAGTGGCGTTTGTCACTGCTTACCAACTGGTTTGTCTCTCCGCTCCTTAATCGACGAAGTTGGCGTGGGCAAGGCCAGCACGTCGAGAGTTCAAGTGCCGGCGACAGTTTTTTTCGGGGATGTGACATCTTGTCGTCCCTCGATCCCACCTTCTCCTCCGCTGGCGATGGTCGGCGGCAACATCGGAGAGTTCGTCGGCGAGAAAGCGACAACAGATCCCCCGGAAGGTTTGATGTCGAGAGGGTCGTCGACACCAGGCGTCGAGGACGGCTGCGCGGACATGTGGTGGTCGCCCAGGATGCCGTCGATAACTTCTTCGATGTCAATACACACACTCGGCTTAGTCAGGCTGACTGCTACACGAGCTTCATTGAACCGGTGTTGGAGATCGACGACAGACGTTATTGCTTCGACCTCATAGTCATCACGTTCTGCTGAAAGGCTTGTGACCACCTGTGTCTCCATACCCAGTGCCGTGTCATCGTCGTCATCATCTTCCTCGCGGTGTTCTCCGTACAGCTGCCCGAATCCGTCAGACGACTCCCCAGATCTGTCATTGTCATCGCCGAAAGTCCGTTCGTCGTCTCCTATATCGAGTTCACCTTTTTCCCCCTCCTGCCCTCCTAGCAACCCAGCCAACTCCGTTTCTTCCCCTTCCTCTCCTTCATCCTCTTCTTCCTCCCCTTCATCCCCTCCTTCCTCCAATTCCTCCCCTGTGTCTCCTTCCTCCACTTCCTTCTCTTTGTCCATCACCCTGCCTTCTTCCCCTGCATGCAATGCAGCCACTTCACTCGAACCCGTGTCGATTTTCGACGAATGCACTTCCCGCCCGCCGCACGCAGGCCCTCCTGCCTGCACCGCAATCCCTGGTTGGCCCCCCTTGCCTGAAGAAGTTCGGATCCCGGCGAACTTCGTTGTCTGCATGTCGCCGGGCCCTCCACACGCACCCTCTCGCTCCGACCGAAGCGGTTGGCGATCCCCCGCAGGCGGCGAAGTCCCGTCCATCACCGCACCGCTGTCTATTTTGGGATGACCACTCGCCACTCCCGGTCCTGACCAGCTCTGCGCGTCCGTCCTCTTTGTCGGCTTTGCAAGCATTGAAGTTCAAATCCCGGCGGACTTGAACGTTTCGACCGAGCCGGCACGGGGAGCAACCAAGGCCGCCATCACCGAGCAGGCGGATGAAGTGGGCATGTCCGCCGACTGTGCCGAGGCTTCCGGACTGGGACTAGTAGACTGTTGACGCCCGAGGGCCTCCCCCGGCACCCCACCGCTGCCTTCCGCTGTCATGGTGTCGCCCTGAGACCCTCCCTCAGCCTCGTCGCCCTCGTGTTGTCGCCTTGGGACTCCTTTGCCGCCCCCTGCCTCGTCGCCCTCGTTCTCCCCACCGTCCGGTCTCCGGGACCCTGTACTCACATGCGTCCCACTGGGAGGGGGGATTTTCCAGTCCACCCTTCCCTTCGAGGGGCTCGTGTCAAGGTCGTAGTAGTCCTCCATCAGCTCCAACCAGCACTTGTCCTGAAGTTCGGCGAACAATCGCCCGACTGTGGAAATGACGGACACGTCTTCGGGTGCGAAAGAGTCATTCTCGGCCCTCACTTTCTGGAGGACCGCAATTCTAGCGGCGTCGAGGAAGTCAGACCTCGACCCGCGAGGGAGTGGCATCCATCCTCCGTCCGGGACAGCGACCGCCACGATCCACTCACCGTTTTGGATCGCCGGCTGGATGACTCCTGGATGCGAAATCATGTCATGGCCCCAGTCCGCCTCCGTGGAACGACTTTGAGGCTCAGGCAGGAAGTGAATGTTGGCATCCTTCCGAGACAGATGATCGGGCGGGATGTCAGACCCGGGACGCAGTGAGCGATGGTCGGAGGCCAGAGCTTGCATTCTCTGCAGCAACTTCATCGGGGTAGTGCCAGGCGCCAGTTTCGCCATCGGTGACACGAGGGACGCCGGGCTTGTCGACGGACCTGCCAAGGACAACCATGTAGCGTGTTGCGCGGAATGTTGGTCGTACTGCAGGTCGAGGCTTTCGGTGTCGCTGCCCTCCTCGTCCGCGGTCGCGTCGAACTCGATGCCGGTGGTCTCCTCGTCTTCCGTGGAGATCAAGGAGGAGTAACTGCCGAGCCTCAGCTCCTCCTCTGACTCCACGAAATAAAGGGACTACAACCTCTCGAGGAAGGTCTGCGCGTTCATGCGGGAGACGCCGTGGTAGTTGTTGAGCAACATGAACATGTGGTCCTTGCGGCGCACGTACTCGGCGTCAGTGTCTCTCTTCGGCCGCGTTTGCAGGAACAAGAAGTTGTATAACTTGTTCCGCTTCCTCGCACTCAACTTGAACCACATGTCCGTCTTGCTGTTCCACGCGCGAGCCCGAGTCTCGGTGACGACCATGAACTCGCAATTGTGGGCACCCGAATTGACCTCGCTTTTGACGAGATCAATTGTAAATTGCAAGAGCTCGGAGTTCCCTTCCATGGCGATGACGTGTCGTCCTGCCTTCAGTACTTCCCAGACTGACCGCACGTGTGGCTTCCCGAGGAAGACGACACCCTCCCCCTTCTTGGTGACGGATTCAAGAAGCTGAACGAATTATGCGGGGTTGCGTTCCATGTCCCTTTACACTCTGCCCCGACGTGCAGGCGAGGTATGCGACCAGTCGCAAGGGTTGAACGGGATGTCGGACACATCCATTTGCGTGACCTTCTGTGGCAGCCGCACTGCAGCAGCGGCGCCTGCCGGCAGTTTCCCCTTGTAGACGACGGACGTGTTGGCCCGCAAATCGTCGCCTTTGAAGAGTATGTACATCCGGTCGTCTTCCGTGTACAAATTGTTCCCGACGGGGAAGTTTTTCTTTTGTTGACTCCTCCTCACCCACTTCCCTTCCAGCAGCTTGACGAAAGAAAGATGGTTCATGCTGGCCAGAAAGGAGAGGTTCTGCTGCCGCGGGACAAAAACAACGAGCGTCCAATGCGACGGACACCACGTCTGGAGTTGGGAATCCAGAGTGTCGAACGCTTGCAGTTTCCAAAGCTTCAGGTCCACCGGTTCGCACAGATCGAGGACGAACGTGTGACTCTTTGTGGCAACCACTGCCTCCTTCACCTCCGCACTCCTTATGTCTGCCTCCAAGGGGTCGTTGCCGAATGGCGCGATGGATGTCACGTCGCCCATGTCATTCCATTTTATGTGCACAATGCCTTCGGCGAGCGCGATCTCTCGACTCTTCAGTCTACTGCCAGTCAACACGGACAAGACCTTATTCCTCCAGTCGACGGACAACTTCTTGTGACCGGCCAGCTTCTCCGTCGCCTCGATCGATCTGTCGTCGTCGCAACCCATGTAGGGCGGGCAGTCCTTGAACAGAGAGGAGTCAGTGACGTATTTCGTGCTCCCATCCTACAACTCAGCATCCAAACCACGACTCTCAAACTGTCTGAAAATTGTGGACCTTGATTTCAGGAACGGGAACCTCTGGCTCCAATCCGCGTCCGGCCTTTTGTCGTGCTTGAACTGGTAGTAGTCCCACAGACGCACCAACACCCGGTCGCACTTCACCAAATTCACCACTCCTGGACGCTCAGCTTTCCGAGCTTCGCCAACGCTGGGGAGCCAGCCTGTACCCAAACCACCTCGCAAGCGAGCACATCTTCAGGACGCGACACTTCTCGTTGTCTGTCAGCGACTCCATTGTTTTCCAACAATGCGCGTCCGACTCTGGCACTTGCACAAACCACTCGCCCTCCTCTTTCTCCTTTTTGCCTTTCTTTGTCGGCGGGTCCACAGGGACGTTGTACACGACCTCCTTCCTGCCCAGCTTGTCATTGTCGATGTATGCAACCCCAGGCTGCACGTTTTTGACTTTCTTCTTCCGCATGATCCACTTCGCGCCGTCGTGTCCAAGCAATCTGCCTATCTCCCATCTCTCAAAAAACTCGACGGCCAGTTTCCAGACGTTCTCCCCTGCCATCGCCAACGGGAAATAGGAACGCAGGGCAGCGCCTTGTTTCCTGATGGCCTCCTCGCCCTTCTGATCTGCGAGAATCCACAAGTTGTTGTGAGGTGTCATGTTGAGTGCGACATTACAGAATTCACGCCACTTCCGGACCTGATCCTGTTTTCCGCTGGGGTTCCCCATAACAGCACGAGGGCAACCGGCACGCTTCCACTGCCACCTAATGTCCCTCATTGACAGCTTCAGTTGTCATGGGGGCGCCTTCAGGTCCTTCTTGTTGTACTGGGAACTGACAAGGAAGTACCCTTCGAAGTCGTCGTCCGAAAAGTAGACCATTCGTGCAGGCCACCGCTCGAAATTGTATTTCCTGGCCACGTCGCTGCCGAGCAGCGACCTTGCTGCAGCCGCGTTGTGCTGCCCACACACCGCGTAGTAGTAGTATTGTCCCGCAGCTCATCCCTCCAATCCTCCGGCCTCAGACGTTCTGCCTTCGTCCCCGGAGTCGGTTTATCAAGCCCCAGCGGCGTCAGGTTCAGGGTTGGTAAATCGTAAGACTGCGCTTTGTTTTCGAACGCCAACCGCATCGCTTCTTTGATCCCTTCAACGAGCACGGGATCCAGGGACCGCTGGTTGTACAGGTCCTCCCAATCCCCGAGGTCGACGACCTGCGCAGGGCTAATCTCGAACTCCCGCTTTGTCGGAACGCCGTCTTTGTACTCGAGGAAGTACCCGGCGTCGACGTCGATGGGAGTCCCTATTGTCGGTGGAGAAGACAGTCCAGTCTCAGGCTGCTTTTGTCTCGAAGATGGTCGTTTGGCAACCTGTCGGCCCTGCTCCCCCTCGGTCCCCTTGCGTTTCTCCCCAACAGTCCTGGGGGCCTTGCTCTTTAACTTCTTCGTAGAACCGGTGAACTCGTCTGGACGATCCCCCCTCCTCTTTTGTGGAGCCCCTTGCGAGCCCAGGCCTCCCGCGTTCACCTCCTCCACACTCTGTCCCTCGCTCGCCTCCAAGTCGACCTCCGAATAGGCCGCCACCTCTCCTGCAGGCCCCGTACTCTTCCGCTGAACCGGAGCATCAGTCTGAACCCCAGGAATAAACAACACAGACCGCCGCGTGTCACTCAACGGCGGAGCAGTCCCCTCATCCTCGCTGTCGTTGAACTGACCTCGACTCTCGCCACAATGCAGCTGAGTGGCGGGACCAGAACCCAGATCACCGCCCTCCGCCGCTGCCCCGCTTGACTCACAACCGCTGCACAGCCTACGGCAACGACAGCTCCAGGGAGGCGTCGACATCGCAGGGGACGTCGAGAGCGATGTTTTTGTCCTCCAACATGTCGAAAAATTCACGCGCCAAAACAAAACCGCCCCCGAGAACGAGTTCTCTGTAGAACGGGGTGTTCACAGCACCCGCTCCGAACCCCTCACACAATTCGAGGTCCAACAACGTCCCTTTCGAATTGGCAACGAGGTTGCCCTTGGCACCATAAACTTTTTGCATATAGAAATGTCGCAGGCCCCCCTTTGCGTCCTCCCACCGCAAGACGGCACCAAGCAATCTACGCCTTCTGCTGTCATCGATGAAGATGACAGGACCACATGGCTGCGCAGTGGGGTTGGATGCGTCTCCACAGCACCAGTCGATGAACCATTTCGACCTCGAATGGTTCGACCACCCTCGCGTGGCAGTAGACGACCGCCTCATGGAATCTTTTCGTGATTCCTTCCTGGAGGTCCCTGTTGGCTCCACCTCGCCCTTGGAAGAAGACATACTGTCTGTGAACGACAACGCAAATCAAACAACACACCATGAAGTCAACATTTGTCAAAACACAGGAGAAACAGAGCACTCGCTGCCGCACGGCAATGCAGGCTGTAGCGCAGCGAAATCCGCACACAAAGACACCCGGGCACCCAAATCTGGAACGGTGAGAAGGGGTAGTCCGCCGGGATCTGAACTTCAAGAGGGCAAGAGGCCGAGAGGCAGACAGAGAGAGAGAGAGAAGCAAGTGAAAACTCGCAGTGCGCATTGGATCAAGCGCTGTTTATGCGGCACACGGGGCACCCCGAAGAACAAAGATAGACGAACGCACAGTGAAAATCGCGAAGTCCGCCGGGATCCGAACTAAAGGACGGTGCGTGGGATAGAGACGGCAGAATCAAATTTCGGGAATTTTTCGCAGGAATCAACTGGCGGTCATGTTCGAAGCTCGTGCTCGACGGGGTAGTGTTCCCCGCGTGGCACTAGGAACCCCCGACAGTCCAACAGCCGCAGCTTGCCAGGATGCAAACTAGAATAGGGCGCAGGAGACAGAGAGAGAGTCAGCTATGCAGCCAGCGCCCCAGAACCGTGCTCGACCAAACGCACTCCGGAACCGTTGCCGGGCGGGTTGTGCGATCCACCCGGAACCATGAAGACTGAAGACAAACCAACGCACCTCCCGAAACATGAAGTTCGTCGGGATTCGAACTTCAGGACGATGCAACAGGCAGAAACGGCATCAGGGACACACGATCCGCAAGTCTAAGGTTGTTAAACTCAACCCCGACCCAGGAAGGCCACACCGGAATGAAAGGCTGGTTGAAATGGAGAAGTCCGCCCTAATCCGAACTACTTCTGATTTCCGATCTCGCGTTATGCACAGCTTGGCACTGTATGAACCCAAGTTCGAAAGCGGCAGCCGTGTCAACATTTCTTAAGTCCCTGGACTCTGGCTGTTGTCACAATCCACGAGGGATCCGGAAGACCACCGTCTGTGGCAATAGACAGGCGACTCCTGAAGTTCGTCGGGATCCAAACTTCAGGAGGCTGCGAGAAAGAGAGACAAAGAGAAACACTGGAGCAACTCTGAGTCCAAACGCAAGATCGGGTTCGACCAAGGCGCACGAGGAAAAACCCCGGGGTCCACAGCTGACCGCAGGTTTTGATAGCAGCAGTCATTGAGTCCAGGCGGAATTGGCAGCAGGACCGTTTCGGACTCCACCCAGCACTCGAAGCTCGGAGGCCGGTAGGACGCACAGGCCAAACCGCGAAGTTCGCTGGGATCTGAACTTCAAGAGGGCGTGACACGGAAAGAGACGGCGTGCACTAGCAACTGCTGCCTCCCACGCCTTTCTCCACTACTAAAACTCTGCCATGTTCGGCAGCACACAAGACTCTCACTCGTCTCCTTTCTTTTCGCTTAAGCACGATGTCCAACCACACGTCCAGATCTTGTGACATTCGCGGTTCCCCGGGGACGAGGTCGTGAACCGTAGCCATACAAAGCATGCATTGACGATCCGTAAATGCGGACCAGCGGATCGTCGACCGTTGCAGTCTCCGAAAAGACGGACATGTATTTCATCCTAACAAACACTCTCGGTCGTGCTAAGGCGTTCCCTATACATTTTCGTACGTCGGACACTTTCTCCTCGACCTCACGGGCAGTGACGAGTGCAGGCCAGCAACTCGCGTTTCTGCGAGCCTCCATAAGTTCGGGGGGACGACGTGACGTATTGGCACTCGCGGCGGCTGAAATGTCGGCTAATGCAGCCTACTGCTCTGCGCATGTGATTCAGGAACTTGTGCCCGAGGACAGCGTCAGGCAGCGGGATGAGGGACCCAAACTCCAACATGTTGGCAAACTTGTACTAGCCTGCCCAAGGGCAGTCACTCTCCATCGTGGCCCAATTGCCGTCGCACCAACCGTCCATATGCCTGCCCATGCACGGGACGACAGTCATCCAGGGGTCCTCCTCGAAGTCCTCTGCGGTCGATCCCTGGATCGTAGTCACACCGTTGAAATGCCGCACAGATCTCGCACAAGGAGGAAACGGTTCTGCCAAGCAAATGTGCGTCTCGGGACTCATGGTCTGTGGTGTCGAGAACATCGACTCCATGATCCGTGGTGTCGAGAAGGTCCCATCCATTACGCGCCCTACACACCACGCGCACATACCAAACGACACACACGGGGACGCTGACACTCGTAAACATAGTTGGCGAGCAATCAAACGACATAGTCCGCACGGATCGTTGTTGCACTGGCAGTCGACGTTAACAGGCCGCACTTGGAGAACCATCACGGTTCCCAGGACGGGCACAACGCGGAGTTCGGATCCCGGCGAGCTTATGTTGTTGCGAAAAGTCGTCGGATGCGAGAAAGATCACAGGCAGAACTCGCGTCATGCGAAACCGCGAAGTTCGCCAGGATCCGAACATGGCGATTGTGCGAGGAGTCATGTATGCCCTGAACGCACGAGGCGGCAGGTCCGCCACGACGTGATCATTCGCCGTTGTCACGCTGTGTTGTTTCGTTTTTTGCGACCTCCGGTTGTAAAGGAAGTGCACATTTGAAAACCCGGTTCGGAATGCCGTGAAGTCCAGAATCGAGCAGACTTGGTGTGCTTGTCACATCCACGGGGCAGCAGGCGAGTCGGTAACATGCCCCGCCAATGGCGGGAACGCAATGTTTGCCGTGATCCGAACTTCGCGAATCTGCGTGGGAGAGACGAAGTTGTCTCTCCCACTTGTCGTCCCAAACATGCTTCAACTTCGGATCCCGGCGAACTACGGATTTTCACGTATCCGAAGTTATGACAATCCACCATGCGCCAGAAAGCCCACGGTCGGAACCGTCACCGTGCGGAAAGCGAAGTGCGCCGGGTTTCGAACTTGACGATTGTACGAGGAACCGTGCGCGAGAAGTTCGGATCACGGCGGACTACGCGTTTTTACGTGTCCGTGTTACGCCGGCGTCCGAACCTGTCGATTGTGCGAGGAACCGTGCACGCACAGTTAGGATCTGCGGGCCAGATGACGAGCCGCAAACATGTCTTACCTGAAGTTCGCCGGGATCCGAGCTTCGCGAAATTTCGAGGGAGGGACACAGTTGTCTACCGAACTCGCCATCCCGTGCATTCTTGAAGATTGGATCCCTGTGGACTTCACATTTTCGTAGGTCCCTCGTTGTGGTTGTGCACTGGGGTTGCAACGCGAGTTGGGTTTTACGAAAGGCAAGAACCTGAAGTTCGCTGGGATCGGAACTTGGCGAAATGTCGTGGGAGAGACACAACTGTCTATCAAACTCGCCTTTCCATTCTTTCTTGAAGTTCGGATCCCGACGGACTTCACATTTTCACAGGTCCACCGCTGTGGTTGTGCACTGGGGCTGCAACTCGAGTTGGGTTTTACGAAAGGCAAGAACCTAAAGTTCGTCGGGATCCGTACTTGGCGAAATGCCGTGGGAGAGACATAGTTGTCTATCAAACTTGCCTTCCCATTCTTTCTTGAAGTTCGGATCCCAGCGGACTTCACATTTTCGCAGGTCCACCGTTGTGGTTGCCCACTGGGGTTGCACTGCGTGTTGGGTCTTACGGAAGGCGTGAACCGAAGGTCCACCGGGATCCATGTTTGGCGAGATTACGTGGGAGAGACACAAATGTCTATCAAACTCGCCTTCCCGTGCTTTCTTGAAGTTTGGATCCCGGCGGACTTCACATTTTCACAGGTTTCCCCCGCTGTGGTGTAGTGGCTGCACAACGGTCGTCGTTGGATGACCAACAAGTTTCGATGACCGACGAGGTTTGACGTCCGGTGGCGTTCGATGTCCGCCAACATTTCAATGCCCGCCGAGGTTTGATGGGGCGCCAGGCTTGATGCCAAACAAGGTTCGATGGCCGACAAGGTCCGATGGCCAGCAACGTTCGATGTGCAACACGGTTGTCACGAACTGTTTTTTGTTCATTCTCGAACAGGGATCGACCTTTTTCACGGGTTTCGACCGTGTGGTAGACCAATTGCCTTGCGTGTTGCGTACCACCAATGGACGACGCGGCAGGTCGAATGCAGTGTAATCGGGGCGAGAAAAATGAACCACTCGGCTGACATGTCGGTGAGCTGGTCGGCGAACGGCCGATCAATCAGCTAATTGGCCAACCACAAACCGAAAAGTCGATCAATCAACTAATCAGTTCCTACTGCCCGATCTCCTGATCAATTAGTTACTCTTGTCCGCTCTCCTGTCAACCAGTTTGATGGATCGGTTGTTCGCTTGCCGGTTGGGCGATCGCACAGAGGGTGATGCCACGATCGGCACCCGGATGAAACGACTGGAACGCAAGCACATGTTGGTTTCGATTGGTCAGGAGATCTGCCAGGAGCGAATTATTGTTCGGCTGTATGGTTGGTGGACTGGTGGATCAACGGGTCGTCCGACCGCAATCCGAACAGTCGTCCAGTGATGTTGGTCGTGGTAGATGTATTGATCATTCTACTGTTCGGTCGGGGTACATCAACGAGTGTGATGAATCGGTCGCTCGCCGCCTGGTTGGTCGATCGCGCACGTTGCCACGTGTGTTTTGATGTTACATTTGATACTAGCGAAA